GGGGGTGTGGGGGGGACAGGATCCTCGGTGTGTGAGAGGGAGGTAGTTGGTTGAGAGACAGGGGGGACAGGATCCTCGGTGTGTGAGAGAAGGAGGTAGTTAGTTGAGAGACAGGGGGACGGGATCCTCGGTGTGTGAGAGAAGGGAGTAGTTAGTTGAGAGACAGGGGTGTGGGGGACGGGATCCTCGGTGTGTAGAGAAGGGAGGTAGTTAGTTGAGAGACAGGGGGACGGGATCCTCGGTGTGTGAGAGAAGGGGTAGTTGGTGAGAGGGGTGTGGGGAGGATCCTCGGTGTGGAGAGGAGGTAGTTGGTTGAGGTAGGGGGTGGGGGACAGGGATCTCGGTGTGTGAGAGAAGGGAGGTAGTTAGTTGAGAGACAGGGGTGTGGGGGACGGGATCCTCGGTGTGTGAGAGGAGGTGGATTAGTTGAGAGACAGGGGGTGTGGGGGGGACGGGATCCTCGTGTGTGAGGAGGTTGGTTGAGGCGGGTGTGGGGGGACGGGATCCTAGGTGTGTGTGAGAAGGGAGGTAGTTGAGACAGGGGTGTGGGGGGGGACGGGATCCTCGGTGTGTGAGGAGGTAGTTAGTTGAGAGACAGGGGTGTGGGGGACGGATCCTCGGTGTGTGAGAGAAGTAGTTAGTTGAGAGACAGGGGGGATGGATCTCGGTGTGTGAGAGAAGGGAGGTAGTTAGTTGAGGGAGGGAGGGGTTTGCAACAGTGAAATCCTGGAAATTTTGATGTAGAATAAAGTGAAGGTTTTAAAATGTGTTACTAATTTGTTGATGATGTACAGTAGGAAATTTATAGCATGGAGTCACTCTAACTTGGCTCCTATAAGTATAAACAACTTTATATAGGAAGTTTATAGTAGAGAGTCATTTAATTTAGCTTCTATAGATGTGAACGACGTATAGACAGATGACAGTTGTTGAGATAAAGTTGAATTAATATTGTATCACCTGAGTCATTACAGGTGGTCACAGGTTTACCTTCCTCAACACTTATTTAATTAACTAGACAACACAACTCGCCCAGTCGCTTAGTTCTTGGTAGATAATTTATCCTGATATTAATTGTAGTTTATTGAGAGATTCATCAATTTATATATTTGGCTCAACATTGAATGAGTGAAAATTTTACTTCTTTTTTCCTTTACAAAATGAATGACGTTTAGAGAATGTTGAATGTTGAGCCAAGATTGTTGGTGATAAAATACTGTGGAATGTTGAGAGAAACTGGTGAGTGGGAGGTGGAGGAGGTGTAGAACAGGTGGTTGATTTAGTGAGAGAGAGGGGGAGGAGGGTAGACAGAGAATAGGGGAGCAGAAAGGGGTAGAGACAGGGGGGGGGGGTGAGTGAGGGGGGAGATGTGTAATTTAAGATGGAGAAGAACGCACCAATTGGCTACCCCGGGGATGAGACTTTCCAGAGATGTAGAATTCACAAAGAGTGAGTTATTACAGAACCTTACTGTACTGCCATGAGTATTTAGTGTTACACTTAGTATATGACAACTCGAGTGCTAATGGACATCGATTTGTGAATTCTTCAATAAATAGGGAAACTGGCTGTGAACAGAACACTGGGTCGGTACCAGCGAGTCGGTGATGTAGCCAGAGCCTCACATGAGGTGTTGTGTCAATGATCACGTGACGCTAGAGAGAGAGAATCATGTGGTTGTCTTAAGTCTTCTTCATTATGTCACATGAAGCTCTGGCGCTGTCACTATCAAACCTGGAATTCAGGAAGACTTTGTGAATCATTGACAACTTTTAGCATGATATGATAAATAAACTCACTGTATAAATTAACCCAAAAAATTATATCTTCTCTATATAAAAGGTACATTTAAAGTATTGGATAATATAATATAGAAGCCAGTTTCCCAAAATATAATGCAACAGGAGGGTAAATATTCAATGGAACCACTTCTTTACAGTCCTTGGTCACGTCCACTCTTGAACAAGACACTTAATTATAGCTCACAGGTTGTCGTCATTTTTCTGTCTGAATAAATAAATCAGTCTTAATAAGTCATAACAAAGTGTATATAGTTCAGGTAAATTAGTTGATAAATACGTCAACAGAAACACTAAGTTGATGAAAAGTTACGGAACCGTAAGATGAAATAAATAATTGAGTGGCGGAGTGAGTGAGTGAGTGGGTTGGTGGTGGCAGTGAACACTCACCCTCCTACTCGCTACAGCACATAGGGCTGCAAGTAAAAAGGACACACAGCGTTATACAAAACTCCGGATCAGTGCCTGTAGTCTGTGGCATCATGACTCCTGCATGACGACACCGACCCTCAACACTCCTACAATATGGTAGATTCCCTCAGTCTTCACTACTTTGTCCAAGTTGTGTATTGTTGAAATTTTTGTATAATTTCCAATGTATAACCAGGTGCAAACTGCAGCAATCTCACATGAATGTGGACAGTAAATAAACTTTGCTTCTATTATAAACACAACAGAGGTATTTAAAGCAATATACAATACATATATCATCCTCGCAGATGTAAATGCATGAACTTTGGTTGAGAGAGTAACTCCTCTTGAACATGGTAAGCAGAGTCCTAGCAGACGACAGCAACTCTACACGACAGCCTTGGTCAGGAACACAACAACTTAGGCTAGTGACTCACCTTATAAGAAATGGGTGGCAGCGCCAAAAAGCAAGTGACCAATGAACCCACACGGGATGTGTTTACATGTATCTGGCATGGTTCACGAAGAGCAACTAAAAGGTGGCCGTATTTACCAGCAGTGAGGTGCGGTCATGACCACCAGCGGCTGCGGCTGGCACCTACACCTAGCGTCCATGATCAAAGAGGAGAGAAGGGGAAGAGCACACACAAGTCTGGGACAACACCTGAGAGGAGGCACCTGGCCCTGGGGTGGGTCCTGCACCCAGCCGTGGTATTAACAAGGTACAGGTACTCTGCCGGCCCAGAGTGTAATCTCAGATCCTTACAGGCCATGCACTCTACCGAACTTAAGACCTCCTATAATAAATATGGGATTTATTATTTTATAATCTATGTACAAAGATGGAGACATTAATCACGTACAACGCCTCCCAAGCATATAAGTTGAGGAATTTCTATATACGGCACTTCTACCAAAAGTACAAACGTTCAGACCGTAAGTGTGAAACTTTAGTGTCAGTAAAGCTAACCTAACAACTCTCTTGTAAGTGAGACTTGACTCTACTGCTGTACAGCAGATCTTATCCTCGTGTTATATGTACCGTGCCCCATATACTGTATATATATATATATATATATATATATATATATATATATATATATATATATATATATATATATATATATATATATATAGTCAATAACCTCAAAAGCTTACGGAGTTACAATCATCTCTCACACAATAGTCTAATTGGAGTATATTATCGTCAAACAAACTAACATGTGTACAGTACAGGTGGGAGGGACAGTGTGGGTGTTGATCCCCGGAAGAATAATTTACTGGTGAGAGAGAGGGTGAGGGACTACCCTGGTGGTCATGTTAATGATCAATTATGACTTGTATTCAGTTACCATCAGGAAGCAGTGTAAGTACGGTGTAGACAATTAATTATTGGAGTGAGTGTATTGGTGTTCCTACACTGATGATGATGTCATACTAAACCTAAGACTGATGTATGTTACAGTGTTGTGTTGTGTTGCTCCCGCGTGATAAACATTAATGGTGTTGATGAAGAACGTTTTCTTGTTTGGCGTCAATACTGTGTTTACAGGAGTAAATAAGTCAATAAGGAAATACAGTATATTAACAACTAATGTCTCATTCTTTTCAACATCAAAACTTCCTTTGTTTTTTGTTTTAAAAAGATTATTTTAATTCAAGTTTTTCCCTGTACTTCTACGTATTAACATTGTGAAATATATTAAGGCAGATATATACAGGTGTATGTTTGTCAGTCATATATATATCCAGAACCACGTGTTAGAATTCAAGTTTCTTCTTGTTAGTTTATTGTGTCATAAAGTGTAACATAAAGAAATATATAAGAAATATTGATCTTTTTGTTTAGTCCTGTATACTGTAGTAGAGGAAGTGAGACTGGTGTTGACACTACTGTAACCTGCTGTACTGTAACCTACTGTAATGTAACCTGCTGTACTGTAACCTACTGTACTGTAACTTGCTGTACTGTAACCTACTGTACTGTAACCTACTGTACTGTAACCTACTGTACTGTAACCTACTGTACTGTAACCTGCTGTACTGCAACCTGCTGTACTGTAACCTGCTGTACTGTAACCTGCTGTACTGTAACCTGCTGTACTGTAACCTGCTGTACTGTAACCTACTGTACTGTAACCTACTGTAATGTAACTTGCTGTACTGTAACCTACTGTACTGTAGCCTGCTGTACTGTAACCTGCTGTACTGTAACCTGCTGTACTGTAACCTACTGTTATGTAGTCTACTGTAAAGTAACTTGCTGCACTGTAACCTGCTGTACTGTAACCTACTGTACTGCAACCTACTGTAATGTAACTTGCTGTACTGTAACCTGCTGTACTGTAACCTACTGTACTGTAACCTACTGTACTGTAACCTACTGTAATGTAACTTGCTGTACTGTAACCTACTGTACTGTAATCTACTGTAATGTAACTTGCTGTACTGTAACCTGCTGTACTGTAACCTGCTGTACTGTAACCTACTGTAATGTAACTTGCTGTACTGTAACCTACTGTACTGTAATCTACTGTAATGTAACTTGCTGTACTGTAACCTGCTGTACTGTAATCTACTGTACTGTAACCTACTGTACTGTAATGTAACTTGCTGTACTGTAACTTGCTGTACTGTAATCTACTGTACTGTAACCTGCTGTACTGTAACCTACTGTACTGTAATGTAACTTGCTGTACTGTAACCTGCTGTACTGTAACCTACTGTACTGTAATGTAACGTGCTGTACTGTAACCAGCTGTACTGTAACCTACTGTACTGTAATGTAACTTGCTGTACTGTAATCTACTGTAATGTAACTTGCTGTACTATAACCTACTGTAATGTAACCTACTGTAATGTACTCGAGGTAGACCAACAGTACAGTACATAAGGACAGTAACTGAGACGTGTTCAAAAATAGAGGGAAAAAAGATCTGTATTTACTCTCAGTTTAACAATGATAAGAAACTTAACACTACCAATAATTTATACTATTAAGTAATATCTATATTGTGTAGTGTAGTGTAGTGTCGTGTGGTGTGGTGTGGTGTGGTGTAGTGTGGTGTGGTGTGGTGTGGTGTAGTGTGGTATAAAGGGAAGAGTATTTTCACAGGTAAAACATCTCACTCTTAGTTGTTATCGAACAGTTACGCCTCATTAACTCTCAGGGTCTCGTTAATTCTTAGTCTCCTGAATATTTGGACTGTTTGAGGAAACTCTGGACTTTTTACAGATATGGTAAGTTTGTACAGCTTATCTCTATTGTATAGTGTGTGCAGGTGTGTAACTGTTCATATATCACTACAGTATATCTTAAATAGGAGAAAATGTCTCCATACATTCTTCTTGTCGTGACGTACATTACACACTCTGACGTTAATGAAGTGATAATGTTGCGTCCCGTTTATAAGTTAAGACTTGAACATAAGTGAAGTAAACACCGCAAGTTGTTGAGGTTACCGGCCAGGTGTTGTATGTACACATTCTTAGTCTATCATTCAACTCGTACTTATGTATTTTTATATAATGAGATCAAGACACGTTAATTAATTACCCAGCTACTCCAAGCCTAAGAAAACTGCATCAGAATGATGATCAAACACAGGTTTATAATTTACTGATACGGTAATAATGTATTTAAATGAGTGTCCGTAGAATGAGAGGGAGTATCACAAGGTGTAGGTGTGGCTGACACTCTTGTACACCCCCCTCCCCCAGCCTCCTGATGGGGTGTGGGCCAGGGGGGATTGTGCTCATGGAATGTTTATATTAGGTAACAGGTGTACTGTTCACCCCCCTCCCAGGCCCCATGATGGGCTGTGGGCCAGGGGGGGTTGTGGTCGAGAGTCTTGTTGACACACACTTGTACACTCTCCCCCAGCCGTGTATGGGTCATGGGCTGGGGGTTGATGGTTAGTGAGGACACTCTGTACACGCCATGGGCCAGTGTTTCTCTCCAGTCACACTGGTTTGTTTGGTGTCATAAACCGCCAGCTGCCTCGGCCAAATATTTCCCTGCCTTTATATTTCTTCTTTACCTCTGTGTTGTTGTCACTGTCTCACACAGAAGTCATTGAGTTATCATGAGTGGCGGTGTCAGGTGTCACAGGTTAGTGGAGTGATGGGTGGGTGGACGAGGGCAGCGTGGCGGTGTGAGCAGCCAGGAGGTGCTGGAGCGGTGCTTAGATGTCCAGGGGCATGTCAGCACTGCCTTCCACGATGTCCATCTCGTCATCACCGTCCTCTGCGTCGTCGTCCACGTAGTTACTCACTTCCTCGCTGTTCACTATCGCATCTGTGGAAGGAGTTATTCACCATTAAAATGAATTTAACTTAGAACCTCGTACGATGTTTTGGTGGGGACGGGAAGTATTGTAACTTGAATTAGACTTAACGTAACCTAACCAGAGGGCGTTCACATCCATACCCTCGCCAGTAGTGGTGGACGGAGATGATCTTAGATAAAACAACATTACTCAGTCGTATACGGCGTGGCCCAGAGGTTGGGTGAAGTACGTACCGCAGTTAGGTGTGCCGCGAGTGCGTGTTTTGGGGAGCTCAACACCGTGCCTGTCGACGCACCAACAGACACCGGCCCCTGCGTGACACTGTGTGGCCTGGTAGTAGCCCTCACTGTCGCACTCTGGGATGTACCCTCCTGCACACACACCACAGTCTCTCATTAACTTAACATCAACAGTTATATACATATTCATTTTTGATATTACCATGATGGCTGATATTATTAGTGTATTCCTGTTAATATATATTACTAATACCTCAAGGCTCTTGTCAGTACTGTACTGGCTCTAGTGACCTCACAGATAGCGGTCATGTATATTCAGCAGTAGACACATAACTGGTGAGGGGGGGGGACTCACCAAGTAGGCCCTTGCTGGCCTTACGGAGAGCAGCACACGGCCGCTCTGACTTGTCAAAACATTTGCACCACTCCCGTGCTGACAGGAAGATGTCCCTGAGAGTAAAGTATAGGCTCATCATTCTGTTAATACATACAATCGTAGCATAATAGTCAGAGAAGAGATGAATTATAAGGTAACTTTAAGCTACCTTAACCTAAACTAAACTAACCCATCCTAATCTAATTTAATCTTACCTAACCTAAACCCCAGGTAGCATTAGAGTTGTTAATCATCAGGTGAAATAATCTGGGGTGTCAAGTTTTCAAGTAAAATAAACTGGTTTTAATCTTGAGGTGATCTGATGTAGCCTCACCCCCCGCGGCTCACCTGTCAAGATCACATCGATCAATAAAAGGCTTGATGCACCGTTCATGGTCGTCGTGTTCCAGCTGATAGAGTTCCTTCACACTGAGGCGTCCATCCCCGTCTGTGTCCAGGTGACCCAACATCCACGACACCTCGGGTTTACACCACGACGGAGCTGTAACACGGGGAGTGGTTAAGACTCTTGGGTGTAGTGTGTGGTAATGGTGCAGTGTGGTGATGGTGTGGTGTGTGGTGATGGTGTAGTGTGTGGTGATGGTGCAGTGTGGTGGTTTAGTGTGTGGTGATGGTGTAGTGTGTAGTGATGGTGTGGTGATGGTGTAGTATGTGGTAATGGTGTAGTGTGGTGGTGTAGTGTGTGGTGATGGTGTAGTGTGTGGTGATGGTGCAGTGTGGTGGTGTAGTGTGTGGTGATGGTGTAGTGTGTGGTGATGGTGTAGTGTGTAGTGATGGTGTGGTGATGGTGTAGTATGTGGTAATGGTGTAGTGTGTGGTGATGGTGTAGTGTGTGGTAATGGTGTAGTATGTGGTGATGGTGTAGTATGTGGTAATGGTGTACTGTGTGGTGCTGGTGGTGACTTGAAAACGTTTATCAATTGTGTTATAAGTAGAAAACGTTGACCACTTGTGTTGTTAATTTAAAAACGTTCATAACTTTTGTTGCTAATATCAATTTATGGTAACAATATATGGAGCTCGTGTTTTGAAAGCTTTTTTATTTTAATCATCACTTATTGCTATAATTAACATCCTTATTATTATTAATTATAATTAGTTGGCTGAACTGGAAGAAATAATTCAAATTTGATCATAATTATTGTTGCCCAGGTGTGAACCATCGTGGACTGTGCTCACGGACAAGACCACCATACAAAGAATACATAAATATTGTGATGTGTAGATGATATTTTGGTGGTCCGTAGATAACATGATAACGATTCATAAAGACGACCCATCAACCCTTTACTACTGCCGAAGATCACCTGACGCAGCAGGAGGGTGACAGGTGACTCAGTAATGGTCGGTGCATTAGGTGACCTGCTACTGGAGGGGAGAGCTGTGGCTTCTGGAAAAGTGACAGTGTTTAATGTATGCTAAGGGAGGAGGAAGAAGGAGGAGTAAATGAGAGAAGGGAGAGGGAAGGTGAGATTTACCGAATGTAGGGGAGGAGGAGCCGGGATAAGTGGCGTTGTGTTCAATGTAAAGTGACAGTATGGGGGAGGGTGTGTCTCTGCTGACTTACTGTACTGTACTCTACTCTACTCTATTGTACTGTATTCTACTCTACTGTTCTCTACTCTATTGTACTGTATTCTTCTTTACTGTACTCTACTCTGTTGTACTGTATTCTACTCTACTGTACTCTACTCTACTCTGTTGTACTGTATTCTACTGTACTCGACTCTGTTGTACTGTATTCTACTCTACTGTTCTCTACTCTATTGTACTGTATTCTACTTTACTGTACTCTACTCTGTTGTACTGTATTCTACTCTACTGTACTCTACTCTACTCTGTTGTACTGTATTCTACTGTACTGTACTCGACTCTGTTGTACTGTATTCTACTCTACTGTACTCTACTCTACTCTGTTGTACTGTATTCTACTCTACTGTACTCTACTCTACTCTATTGTACTGTATTCTACTCTACTGTTCTCTACTCTATTGTACTGTATTCTACTTTACTGTACTCTACTCTGTTGTACTGTATTCTACTCTACTGTACTCTACTCTACTCTGTTGTACTGTATTCTACTCTACTGTACTCGACTCTGTTGTACTGTATTCTACTCTACTGTACTCTGCTCTACTCTACTCTGTTGTACTGTATTCTACTCTACTGTACTCTACTCTATTGTACTGTATTCTACTCTACTCTACTCTATTGTACTGTATTCTACTCTACTGTACTCTACTCTACTGTACTGTACTCTACTCTATTGTACTGTATTCTACTTTACTGTACTCTACTCTGTTGTACTGTGTTCTACTCTACTGTACTCTACTCTACTCTACTCTTTTAAATGACTTCCATACAGGGGGAAAGGTGTTCTAAGTGCCACTGGTTGGTTTTAAGTGTTAGTAGTGATGATGTATTTATTTTTTATATTAAAGTCGTAGAACCTGTGAATATTTTTTTTTTATTTAAATATTGTAAAGATAAATCCCCTTAATAAAATGTGTGTACGTGTGCCTGTCTGTGTGTGTGTACGTGTGCCTGTCTGTGTGTGTGTACGTGTGGTTGTGTGTGTGTGTGTATGTGTGATGGGGATTACGGGGGCTGTACTCTTACCTTTAGTGGCGGCGTTGGATCGGCTGCGAGCGTCGGCCATGATAACGGAGAACCAGTCCAGCATACGGTTACCCATGGCCTCTAGCGCGTCCTGTGTACACTCTGTAAGGGGGAGAACCACACTCAGTTGTGCCTAACACTGGCGGCAAGCTAAACCGTGTGTTTGTGTGTGTGTGTGTGTGTGTGTGTGTGTGTGTGTGTGTGACTAAAGAGCTAAAGGTTTTCTGATCACTCTCAGCATAAGTCGCACTCGAGGTAAACATACTGTACACCATAAGCTCAAGGCAGAGTGGTACTGTAGGGTGCGGTGGCTGAGTAAATATAATACTCATTTCTTTATTTCAATGTTCCCTGGTTCGCTGTTTAGGGCACCCCAGTTCACCCAGCTGTGATTGGATGCCTGAATTAATAGTTAAGGGCTATGACACCTAATTTGGCTTTCCCCTGTGCTAATATTTTACAGTGTCAGCAACGGGTCAGTGTGAAATTGCAATTGATTCGTCATTAGGGTTATGTCTGGCAAAATTAAATAATAATACACAAACTAGTTGACCCCAAAACACCACCAGTATGAGACGCAGTTATCACTTGTTCAGCCTAAACGTTGGTGATGGCAGAGACACAATGTTCTGTTGACAATAGTATGATCCTCGTTGTGTGCTGCTGAGGTGACAAGATCCAGTGTTCTTCCTGTTAGTTCACCTCACTATACCGGTGTGTGTGTGTGTAAAACTTTGCCACTACAATACATAGTTGTTAAAATTGATGTAATGTTGTGGATAAGTCGACATAAATAAGTATGTTGTGATATGTTTATACTGGGACATACAGGAAATACATTTAATAGTTAATCTTGAAACTTGATTGACAAAATTATTTACTGTACCTCTAAATAATTCATAGAAGTGACATCCCACTGTAGTAGAAGGTAAGTTACAGGAAATACAGATTTTTATATATATTTCACTTCAGAGGGATTTCAATATGATGATGATGATGATGGTGGTGGTAGTGATAGTGTTGTTGATAGTGATGATGATGATGATGATGGTGGTGGTAGTGATAGTGTTGTTGATAGTGATGATGATGATGGTGGTGGTGGTAGTGATAGTGTTGTTGATAGTGATGATGATGATGGTGGTGGTGGTAGTGATAGTGTTGTTGATAGTGATGATGATGATGATGATGGTGGTGGTAGTGATAGTGTTGTTGATAGTGATGATGATGATGATGAAGTGATGATGATGATGATGATGATGGTGGTGGTAGTGATAGTGTTGTTGATAGTGATGATGATGATAATGGTGGTGGTGGTAGTGATAGTGTTGTTGATAGTGATGATGATGATGATGGTGGTGGTAGTGATAGTGTTGTTGATAGTGATGATGATGATGGTGGTAGTGATAGTGTTGTTGATAGTGATGATGATGATGATGATGATGATGATGGTGGTGGTAGTGATAGTGTTGTTGATAGTGATGATGATGATGGTGACCGGTGACCACGCCAGACTCACCATTAGGTCCCCAGACAGTGTTGGTTGTTTTGTGAGCGGCGTCATTACTGCGGCGTGCCCACTGACGCCTCTGTCCCTGTCGACCAGAGACACTGTTAGTTAGTTACCTGTCTCACACATACATACATACATACATACATACATACATACATACATACACACATACATACATACATACATATATTATTATTGCTGTTAGTTTGTGTTTAATAAGTTGATCTTTATAACAGATACAAGTTATAATCGACACAGTATGCTAAGGCTCTTCTACACGCGACCAACAATAAATGGGGAGATATTTGTTATTTAATTTACCGGGAATATTTAACCGGGATATTTGAGCGGTAGATACGTAGTGGAATACCTGTGTAATATCATCATAGGAGTTATTAAAGAGTGAGCAGAATTATTTAGCTCTTTGTTGAAAGGTCTGAAATATTTGTAATTAATTTGTGTAGAAAAATTCTGATCCGGCCAATTTGTGTTATTAAATTGGACTTATGTTGATATGAAAATAACAGTTGGTGTTTATTGAAGAGTATTGGATATTTTATTTTATTTATTTATTGAAGATTATTGAATTATTTTTGGTTCAGATTCGGTTTTTATTTTTATTGTGGGTTTTAGTAATTGTTGTTTGTTTTTAGTCTTGTTTATATTGGTTAAGTTGGGTGGTTTTTTTTCGGTGACTTGTGTGTGTGTGTGAGGGTTGTGTGTATGTATGTGTGTATGTATGTATGTATGTATGTATGCATGTATATTTCTGGCTCCTAGCATTACAAGAAACACACCAACAATACATTATATTATTACACGGTTATTAGACATAAACTGTTCTGTACTCTCCACCTAACACACACACACAGAGTCGAGACACTTCACCTTAATTTAATAAAACGAGGAAATGCGGCAAACCTGCGTCACCGGAGGCAAACCTGCGTCACTGCCTCTTACATCATTCATGTGTATTTAATTAGACACCAACATAAAATACTGACGGTGTTGTGGTGTTAATGGTCGTTCTTGTGATGGAGTGTTATTGAGGTGTAGACTGTTTAGGTGTTATGCTGTAATTATATTAGTTGGTGTTATGTTATTATTAGCGGGTTGGTACGGTGATGTTTATGACCACACACACACACACACACACACACACACACACACACACACACACACACACACAGATGTGACCCGACAATAAACCACGAGAGACACAGTTAATGATGTGTGACAAACTATTTAGGTTTACAACATGTGACCGGCTGTAACTCACGCTGTACTTGTCCGTCTCTCTGTACGTCTCTTTGGCGTACTTGCCGCTGTACTTGTTGTTCTTTTCGTGGTCACTGTTCTTGCCGTTCTTGTAATTGTTCTTGACTCTGGTCAGACGACTGCGGACTCGGTTATTGTACTTGTCGCCGTCCCTGTTGTGTTTGTCGCGCCTGTTGTTACCACTGTTGTCTCTGTTGTGTGCCTGTTGCTGGGGCTCCCGCAAGCGGCCACGGGTTGTGTTGTCCCTGTCGTCTGGTCTACCGGAGGAGGAGGAGGAGGCTGTAGAGGAAGATGATGAAGAAGAGGAGGAGGAAGAGGATGATTCTGGGGAGGAGGGGGAGGCGGAGGAGATGGACGGGGTGCTGGGTTCGTCCTTGATGGCTCGGAGTTTGTTGATGTAAGCGTCGAGTCTCTCACGCTGACGCTCCTTCTTGGCCGTGTGAGAGTTGGGGTCTGTAACACACACGGTCACCTTTAGTTACACCAACTACATGTGACTATAGTAACAGGTATATATAACTAGGTGGGTATATATTAACAGGTATATAATATAACTAGGTGAGAATAATACAGGTAGCGTGATATGAATACATTAACCCTTTGTGGACGATTATTGAACCCTTTGTGGACGAGTGTATAAAACTAGCGTCCCCAAAGGGTTAAGTCATCGTCCCCAAAGGGTTAGGTCATCGTCCTCAAAGGGTTAAGTCATCGTCCTCAAAGGGTTAAGTCATCGTCCTCAAAGGGTTAAATCTTCAGTGTTTAAGAATATTATATTTTTTTCTCTATATATTGAGGAAATAATATTGTGGAGATATAGTGAACCCTTCATATAATCCGTTATATGGGGGTTTCACAGCTAACGGACCCTCGATATAATGGACTTTCCTCTATACAGTTCGTTAAATGGAGGTTTTCACTATAGACATAAACATTGGAAGGAAATGAATAATAATGAGGCGTTAAGACAGTGAAGCCAAGAGGCGCCGTTAGATAATATATTGTAATTATAAAAGTTAATCTAAAGTTGTAATTTAAATGTGGTGGTGGTGGTGGTGTGTGTGTGTGTGTGTGTGTGTGTGTGTGTGTGTGTGTGTGTGTGTGTCAACAATATTCCCGGGTTGTACAGCAGCTGGCGGTCCTCACACAGTCCACTACCTGATCCATGCTAATGCCTCTGCCTTCCTTCCCTCCCTCTCCTTCCATTCCTTCTCTAGTCCCTCCTTCCCTCCTTCCCTCCCTCCCTCCCTCCCACACAAGCACCTCTGTATTGCGGTGGTCCTCATTAACTATGGCTCTAGGACATTTGTATTTAAGTACATTAATATAGTGTTAGTTTTATGGCGCAAAGTTTCCCTAGACTTTTGTTAGACACTCTGTAATTAATGTGTTTTGGGGGGAAAATTTAGTCTTGTGGGGAAAATTGTATCTGCGTTTTGGGGGAAAATTTTGTCTGGTGGGGGAATTATATCTTCCGGGCCCTTCTCTCCTGCAGCAGTTCAACCAGTGCCTCGATGCCGCTAGCTGAAGGTCGCCGCTGATTACACTGATTTAATGGCACTATTGACTATTGTCGTTGTAATTACTTCTCTTTATTCTTCCTTCCGAGTTATTGTTTATTTTACGGGATTAATTTTACAACTATTACTAAAAAAAATGTTTATTATATTTTAAGGTTAAATATGACTTAGTTTGCTCAGTGTACCTTCACATTGTAAGAAAATTAAACAGGTTGAATTTAAATTAGTGTTTATTGAGCCATACTGCAGGTAGGGTGCTTCCTGGTGGAGGTACAGGGGGCGGCAGGAGACGACCCACCTCCTCCAGGCTGGCTCTCTGTCCTAATGCAGGTGTACCTTACCGCTCACCTCTACCGTGTGATGCTGAGTTAGTGTTAATTACCTGGATACTGCGGTACATAAATATAACGAGGTGGACCAAGAGTAAGTTACGTGTGTGTGATAGTGATTATTGTTACCGGGTCAGAGCACAGGCCGGTCACTCAAGGCTTCTGGCAACTCAACATTACACACCATCATTATGTTAATTAGTTAGGAAGTTAGTTTTAAGGCTCATTAATTAATTCATAATATTAATAAGACCTTTAATGGTGAACAGGTATATACTATATCCACCAACAGTTACTGAGATGTGGCCCAGTTATAAACACATTGTCTCGTGGCATGTCGTCGCGGGTCTTAAGCTGTAGTCACTTAACGCAATTTTAACAGAAGGCCAAAAGTCACACTCTTGAGAAAACGTTTAAGATGTCTTTGTTGAAGTTTTTCTCAGCCTCCTCAGACTTGTCACAGTTTTTCACCTTAAAGAAATTCATTTGAGATAAACAAGACAGAGGTGTGGTGTCCAGGAGGCGTCACCACACACTCACCAACTTGCTGACTTCTATGACTTGTGAGTCGTGTGTGTGTGTGTGTGTGTGTGTGTGTGTGTGTGTGTGTGCACCAGCCAGCGTCTTGTTATATTATTATATGTTGTTTATAATGACACCGTGACCTTTTATGACCTCAGCAGCCGCCAACAGCGTCAAAGTATAAACATTACTTCCATTGTTAAGATAATGTAATATGTGTCCTCCGTATAGCGTCAATAAAGGCCTCTTGTTTAAGGCTGTTGGACCCATAACGTGAGGGAGATAAGGCAAGGTGCTACGTCCATGATGATAAGCTGAAGATAATGTAATATGTGTCCTCCGTATAGTGTCAATAAAGGCCTCTTGTTTAAGGCTGTTGGACCCATAACGTGAGGGAGATAAGGCAAGGTGCTACGTCCATGATGATAAGCTGAGGCGTCTCTCTCTCTCTCCATTATTAAGTTATGTCTCATATTCACATAACCTAACCTAACCTGACCAACCAAGCCACACACCCCTCCCTCACCTGTCACTCCACCAGGCCACACACCCCCCTCACCTGTCACCCACCAGGCCACACACCCTCCCCCCACCCGTCACCTTCCACCAGGGCCACACACCCTCACCTGTCACCCACACCAGGCCACACCACCCCTCACCTGTCACCCACCAGGCCACACACCTCCTCACCTCACCCACCAGGCCACACACCTCCTCCCCTCTCACCCACCACACAACCCCTCCCCACCTCCCCACCCACCAGGCCACACACCCTCCCTCACCTGTCACCCACCAAGCCACACACCCCCTCACCTCACCCACCAAGCCACACCCTCCTCACCTCTCACCCACCAGGCCACACCCTCCTCACCTCACACTCCACCAGGCCACACACCCGTCCTCACCTGTCACTCCACCAAGCCACACACCTCCCTCACCTGTCACCCACCAGGCCACACACCCTCCCCCACCTGCTCACTCCACCAGGCCACACCAACCCCTCCCCCCCTCACCCCCACCCACCAGCCACACACCCTCCCCCCCCCACCTGTCACCCACCAGGCCACACACCCCCCCACCTGTCACCCCACCAGGCCACACACCTCACCTGTCACTCCACCAGGCCACACACCCTCCTCACCTCACCTACCTGCCACACACCCCCCCTCACCCCCACTCACCAGGCCACACACCCCTCCCCCCCACCCACACCCACCAGGCCACACACCCCTCCCCTCACCTGTCACCCACCACACAGGGCCACACCCCCACCTGTCACCCACCAGCCACACACCCTCCCCTCACCTCTCACTCCACCAGGCCACACACCCTCCCCTCACCTCTCAGACACAAGACACAAGCTGGTCGTATCTCCTCCCCCAATGGAATCTTACAGTTGGTGTCTCTTCTGAATTACGTTAACCTCCTTTACTCACAGCTGACCCTCTCCCTCGCTAGTCCCTCGTGTGTGTGTCTCCCCTCCTCCCTCTTCCTTCTTCCTTCTTGGGGAGGTGCATGTGAGTGTTTACTGATGCACGGTGGACGGGGTAGCTACAGGCGTCCTCCCACAATGTCACACCAGAACGAGGTATTCCCCTGCCTCCCTCCCTCCCTGCCTCCCTCTCCGTGTTATTGGTAAACTGCTTGCTGTGCTGGCGTTCCGACTGCCTTGTGTGTGTGAGAGAGAGAGAGAGAGAGAGAGAGAGGTGAATGAGTGGATGGATGGTTGAGTGAAGTGGGATCAAGGTAGTAACTGTGTGAGGGAAGATATCTTTAAGTATGGCGGAGCTAAAATTCAGGTGACCCGAAGTTTGTAAGACAGACAAACAGACGGCCACTGAACACCTTATACCCTTCCTATACTCAGTACCGTCCACTTCATCCACCTCCCTACCTAACCTTGTACCGTCCACTTTCCACCCCCCAACACTAAACCCAGTACAGTCCCACCTCATCCACCCCCTCCCCTTCTTAGTACCGTCCACTTCCATCACCCCAACACTAACCCCAGTGATCCTCATCCACCTTCAACACTAACCCCAGTACCGTCCTTCATCCACCCCCAACACTAACCCCAGTACCGTCCACTTCATCACCCCCCTCCCAACACTAACCCCAGTGCCGTCCACTTCATCCACCCCCTCCCAACACTAACCCCCAGTACCATCCTTCATCACCTCCCAACACTAACCCCAGTACCGTCCTTCGTCACCCCCCTCCAACACTAACCCCAGTGCCGTCCACTTCATCCACCCCTCCCAACACCAACCCCAGTACCGTCCCCATCACCCCCAACATAACCCCAGTACCGTCACTTCATCCACCCCCCAACACTAACCCCAGTGCCGTCCACTTCATCCACCCCCCCTCCTTTTCTTCCCAGTACCGTCCTTCATCACCCCTCCCAACACTAACCCCAGGCACCGTCACACTTCATCCACCCCCAACACTCAACCCCAGTACTCGTCCACTTCATCCACCCTCCCTCCCAACACCAACCCCAGCACGTCCACTTATCCACCCTCCCAACACTAACCCCAGTACCGTCCACTTCATCCACCCTCCCAACACTAACCCCAGTACCGTCCACCCCAACACTAACCCCAGTACCGTCCACTTCATCCACCCTCCTCCCTCCCAACACTAACCCCAGTACCGTCCACTTCATCCACCCTCCCAACACTAACCCCAGTACTGTCCACTTTCATCCACCCTCCCAACACTCAACCCCAGTACTGTCCACTTATCCACCCTCCCAACACCAACCCCAGTACTGTCCACTTCATCCACCCCAACACTAACCCCAGTACCGTCCACCTCATCCACCCCCAACACTAACCCCAGCATACCGTCCACTTCATCCACCCCCCAACACCAACCCCAGTACCGTCCACTTTATCCACCCCCAACACTAACCCCACCGTCCACTTATCCACCCCCAACACTAACCCCAGTACTGTCCACTTATCCACCTCCCAACACTAACCCCAGTACTGTCCACTTCATCCACCCTCCCAACACTAACCCCAGTACCGTCCACTTCATCCACCCTCCCAACACCAACCCCAGTACCGTCCACTCCATCCACCCCCAACACTAACCCCAGTACTCGTCCACTTCATCCACCCCCCAACACTAACCCCAGTACCGTCCACTTCATCCACCCCCCAACACTAACCCCAGTACCGTCCACTTCATCCACCCCCAACACTAACCCCAGTACCGTCCACTTCATCCAATTCCCCAACACTAACCCCAGTACCGTCCACTTCATCCACCCCCAACACTAACCCCAGTACCGTCCACTTCATCCACCCCAACACTAACCCCAGTACCGTCCACTTCATCCACCCTCAACACTAACCCAGTACTGTCCACTTCATCCACCCTCCCCAACACTAACCCCAGTACCGTCCACTTCCACCCTCCCAACACTAACCCCAGTACCGTCCACTTCATCCACCCCTCCCAACACTAACCCCAGTACCGTCCACTTCATCCACCCCCCAACACTAACCCCAGTACCGTCCACTTCATCCACCCTCCAACACTAACCCCAGTACCGTCCACTTCATCCACCCCAACACTAACCCCAGTACCGTCCACTTCATCCACCCCCAACACTAACCCCAGTACGTCCACTATCCACCCTCCCAACACTAACCCCAGTACCGTCCACTTCATCTCAGTGTCCTTCTCAACCCTATCTCAGTGTTGGCGGGGTGGTGACAGACGGAGGCCTCAGCACCAGTAATTACTGTCGCCACTTGACTAATGCGCCCTCCCTAACCAACTTTTCCACCATCTGCTGCCCTGCCCTGCCCTGCCCTGCCCTGCCCTGCCTCGTTCTAACACCCTCCGCCCCCACTACACTTTTCTCATCTCCCAGCCACATCCTCCCTTTACCTGGTTCAAGAGTCGGTCAAGTAACGAGCAAGAAATGTTTGGAAACTTTCACATTCATCAGTATCTCGTGACTCGTCGTTTCAATTCATCGCCATTTTATGTTTACGTCAGTGATAGTTTTCATAAAAAGATAAATTCTATAATAATAATAATAATAATAATAATAATAATAATAATAATAATAATCTGATCACGATGGATCTCAGAAGCGAAACCTCCAGCGTAATAATTGGTTTACAGAACTTCATTATAGAGAGAGAACTATCAAATATTTCCTGTTAGTACTGCCTGTGTGTGTGTGTGGTACCACAGCCAACACCTTCCTCCCTGTGAGACAATCCTAGTGCCTCAGGGTCGCCGTCCTCACCTAAGTTTCCTGACCTGTGTTACCTGAGACCTCTTCCTCTCTCTCAAGTCTTACAGCCACACAAGTAACCACCTCACCTCACCCTCACCTCAACCCATCTACGCTACTGGGTCATTCGCCCAATCATTCTAGACCATCCACCAAGAAATAAAACAGAGGCCCCAACTTCAGGTTCCATCGCCTAGGAAGAAGGTTTGGGACAAGCTCCTGGACGACCACAGCCCAGACCACCTACGGGGAAGATATCAACGGAGGAGACCCCAGCCTGGTGGCCCCGGGCTGCCCACACTAAACAACCCAACCGGATCCATCTATGTCCGCACAGTGATCCACCTTAGATTAAACTTAGATGATATAAATTCACATTTAACAAGTCAAAATCGAGTGAGTCCATAACGTAATACAGTATAAGATGTTAATAAACTTGTAATTGTAAATCAATCTAGTCATTGTCTACTAAAATAAATTGGAACCTCATTCTAAATCCTAGGTTAGCTTAGTTAGCCAACAAACTCTGTAATATAAAACAAGGTGTCGTCCTCTGTTTAACCTTTATTCTTTCCAACCTTTCCCCACGACTATATGTTGTGATTTCTATCCTCATGTTCGCCAGCCTTGAGCCCCAGCATGCCTTCACCTTTCCCCACCTTAACCTAAAAAAAAAAAAAAAAAGACATCTCTCCCACCCACCCTCCTGACCCCCACCTTTCCTCCCTTGACCCCCACCTCTTCCCTCCTGACCCTCCACCTCCCTCCTGACCTCCACCTCCCTCCCTGACCTCCACCTCCCTGACCTCCACCTCCCTCCCTGACCTCTCCTCCCTGACCTCCACCTCCCTGACCTCCACCTCCTCCCTGACCCCCACCTCCTGACCTCCACCTTCCCTCCTGACCCTCCACCTCCTTATTTCCCTTTAGGCATCTTCACCAGACTGTGGCTCCATCCTCCACTCTGACTGTTCCATCCTCAAGGTCTCGTCTTTGCACACCACTCACGGCTGGCCTTACCTTACCAGTGTATTTCCTCCTCCTCCTCACCACCCACACCTCACCCCAAACTCCACCCACCCACCCACCCACCAACCAACCCCACCCCACCCACCGCCCACTTAGTAGATAGCACCACGAAGGAGACTGTTGTGTCATGGCTTTAAAGGTTTGGTTTAGCCCCCCTCTCTCCCTCTTCTCCCTGTTCCCTCTCCCTCCTCCCTCCCGTTCCTCTCTCTCCTACCTCCTCTACCCCAGTTGACCTGGTATGACCCTGAGGTGTCGTGTCTCCTTGAGCACTGGGTGAGGCTGGTCTTGTACTTGTTACGCCCCCCTCCCTCCCCACCACGCCTCCTCTCTCACCTTCCTTCTCTTTCCTCTCTACCTTCCTCTTCCTCCCACTCTTCCTCCCTTCTTCCCACCTTCTCCTGCCACCCACCTCACCCACCACACCCTCTCACTGCCAGGCCTCAATGTTAAACGACACACCAACATTGCTGGCTGCTGGTGCTGCTTCATTCATAACCTAACACTGCCTCCTCAATGCTCTTGTGTACTATGTAAATATTTCACAAAATCCAATTATTTCTGGGGGAAGGTTTGCTGTCTTAAGCCGCTTTTATTATACATTGTAACAAATCCAATTACTGCCTCGGGGAGTGTTGTTGTTATTGTTATTATTATTATTATTATTATTATTATTATTATTATTATTATTATTATTATTATTATTATTATTATTATTATTATTATTATTATTATTATTAACATTTTTCTCTAATAAGTCAGTGGACCACAAGAGCCCGGGGACTGTGGTGTCAGTTATGTTGTCAGCTGTGAGGGAAGGGCTGACAACACTCAGTCCTCGTGAAAAATATAATTACTACACACTTGTCGTTATTGTTTTTAATTATCAGGGAGAAGGTCGGGTTGTCATGGTTGAATGGGAGGAGAGGGTAGGAGAAGGGGAGGGGGAGGAGGAAGAGAGGGTGGGAGAAGGAGGGGGTAGGGGAGGAGGAAGAGAGGGGAAGGGGGAGTAGGGAAGAGAGGGGGAGGAGAGGTAGGGGGGAGTAGGGGAGGAGAGGGGAAGGGGGAGGAGGAGGGGGTAGGGGAGTAGGAAGAGAGGGGAGGAGGCGAGGGTAGGGGAGGAGGAAGAGAGGGGAGGAGGAGGGGGTAGGGGGGAGGAGGAGGAGGAAGGGGAGAGGGAAGAGGAGGGGAGGAGGAGGTAGGGGAGGAGGAAGAGGAGGAGGAAGAGGAGGGAGGAGGAGAGGGGAGGAGGAAGGAGAGGGGAGGAGGAGGGGGTAGAGGAGGAGAGGGAAGGGGAGAGGGAAGAGAGGGGAGGAGGAGGGGTAGGGGAGCAGGGAAGAGAGGGGAGGAGGAGGGGGTAGGGGAGAGGGAAGAGAGGGGAGGAGGAGAGGGTAGGGGAGGAGGAAGAGAGGGGAGGAGGAGGGGGGTAGGGGAGGAGGAAGAGAGGGGGAGGAGGAGGTAGGGGAGGAGGAAGAGAGGGAGGAGGAGGGGTAGGAGGAGCAGGAAAGGGGAGGAAGATGAGGAGAAGCATGGGAGTATGAAGGAGGAGGAGGAGATAAGGGGTAGGAAGGAGGAAAAGTAGAAGTACGGGAGTTGGAGGAGTGAGGAGGAGTATTGAGTAGGAGGAGGTGGAGTATCAGAAATAATAACCATCGATATTAAGAAAAAAGTATTTCTCAAATTTTTACTACGAAGGAAGACATTTGGCTCTCAGGTGATGGGCGGTAATTGAAGTCAGTCACTCTAGTGTTGTGTTGACAGGCGGTGTTGTGGGTATGGTACAGGTTGACAGTATGGTGTTGTGGGGGTTGACAGGTGGGTGTTGTGTTGACAGGCGGTGTTGTGTTTATTATATAGTGTTGTGGGTAGAGCAGGGCGGTAAGTGTGTGGGTTGGTGTTGTGTTGACAGTATGGTGTTGTGGTGGACAGGCAGTGTTGTGGTGGGACAGGCGGTGTTGTGTTGATTATAAGTGCAGTGTTGTAAGTGACAGGCAGTGTTGTGGTGGAGGTTGGTGTTGTGTTGACAGGCGGTGTTGTGTTGACAGGCGGTGTTGTGGTGACAGGCGGTGTTGTGGTGTTGTCTTAGAGTTAAAAAGTAAGTAACTTAACCCACCATTTGTATATTTAGGTGACTTAAGAACTTTAGTGGTGCACGTAGAGAAATGAACACACTTTTAGTTAATCTTCTTGACGGATACAGACAAACTAGCTGCTGTATGTACTGTAGTAAGGTACTGTATTACTAAAAGAGTTACAGAGGGTGTGGGGAGGGGGCCCTACCTTTAATATACCTAGATAAGAGGGCAGGTATAATTACTTCACTGTGAGGAGACAAAGGCCCGGATGATTACTTTACAGGGACACACGCTCTTGTCATACTGGGATGATTAACATTTCAAAAGAAGGATAATCCGGATATTTGGTTAGGTGAGGGGGAGGAGTGTTGATGTAAGGTTAGGTTAGGTTAGGTGAGGGGGAGGAGTGTTGATGTAAGGAACACTGATCCCGCAACACAGGTACAAGATGACACACACACACACAGGAGGACTGGAGACTGGCTGGGGAGAGTCTTGTGGGGGTAGTAAATGACTGACTCACTCACTCACTGACTCACTCACTCACTCACTGACCTTTACATGGGCAGAAGTCCTTGCAGGCCATGCGGACCTTAGCGTGGTGTATACAGTTGTGGTACTCGAGGCGACACAGTGAGGAGTAGGTACGGTTGTCGGAGCCACACAGGAACACTGGCCGTACTACTGGGCACGAGGGGCACAGTCTGTAACAACAACAACAGTAACTACAGTAATACTCACCTCACAGAACAACAACAACAACAACAGTAACTACAGTAATACTCACCTCACAGAACAACAACAACAACAGTAACTACTCACCTCACAGGGTTTATACAGCATTAAGGTGTATTTCATTCATTTACTTCAGTATATAGTGTATAATGTGTTTTTGAAAGCATATTTATAGAACTTCCTAATTTGTGTATCGTGTATGAGGCCCTTGGGAGTGAAGCATTACCTCCTCCGTAGATGAGAGATGTAAGCCCCCCATCACTCTCTGGGGACGATGACGATGGATTATGAACTCATCTTCAAGTGGTCGTTTATTGATAATTTACTAATATTTGACCTGACGAGCTTGTAAAAACCCCTTCAGGCAGCTCCTCTGATCCTGTAGGAAGTCTGGTCCAGTACTGTGTGTGTGGATAAACCCGAAGGAGGTTCCTGGTGGGAGGCTAAGAGACAACCTTCCCTTCAGCTAGCTCTCTTCTGCTTCACAAGTCGGTGTAATGTTTTTTAATAATCTCTCGTGTTAGATGACTAGAGGGAACTTCCCCCTTAAGCCAGCTGCTGCGTTGGTGATTTTTAGATTGCTTTCGCGTTTTTTTAAAAGCTATTCATACGACTAGACACTTATGATTCACCCTCATTGGGGGATCTGATTCAAATTGGGCCCCAGGTGTAATAGGCTCCAACTTGACCTGCAGAATTGGGGCCCATTAGGATTTTGTTTATTAGGGTTGTGGCGCATTAGAATTGAGTTATTTAGGAGTGAAACACATTAGAATTGAGTTATTTAGGAGTGGAACCCATTAGAATTGAGTTATTTAGGAGTGGAACCCATTAGAATTGAGTTATTTAGGAGTGAAACCCATTAGAATTGAGTTATTTAGGAGTGGAACCCGTTAGAATTGAGTTAGGAAGGGTTGGTTAGGTTAGGTTCAAGTATGTCAGTAGGGGGCGGGGGAGACTGGGGCCTATTTCTCCGCCCTTTGTACTGCAGGAGTAAAAGAAGCTCCTCCCTATTCTAGTACTTGTGGGTCTGGAGAGAACCTGTGGCCGCTCTTGAACACTTCTGACGGAGGAGGAACCTAAGTAGACGCCCTCTTTCAGGCCTTCCGGGTTCATTAATATTATATCTACCGCGTGCTCCTTGTACTGAACACACACACACACACACCAGAGAGAGAGAGAGAGAGAGAGAGAGAGAGAGAGAGAGAGAGAGAGAGAGAGAGAGAGAGAGAGAGAGACACACACACACACACACACACCCGGCTACACTCGCCACAGTTCACGGTAGGCGACTGCTGTTAAAGAGTTAATTGAGAGGAAAGTCAGCGTTAAATTAAGGCGTCCATCCAGAGTCAATTGAGGAGAAGTTTTATAATGAAGTCACTGAAGAAACGAAGGAAGTCACTGAAGAAACGAAGGAAGTCACTGAAGGAAGGAAGGAAGTCACTGAAGGAATGAAGGAAGTCACTGAAGGAATGAAGTTACTGGTGGAATGAAGGAAGTCAACTACAAAATGGCGCCTGAAGTGAGTTATGACTGTGCTGTGTGTTGCATAGTGGAACGTTATTCTAGACAAGAGATATAGTGAACAATGGAATACGGAATGTACACAAAAAATAATGGCGGTGATATTTTGAGAATTTATGGCGACGTGAACCAAAAATGGGAGATAAAGTGTATGTGAATTTATTTATTTATATTAAAAATGTGAAAGGGTAATATATCTCTTAATAAATTATTATATTCAGTTATGGTGTAAAATTGTTGGGGTCAGAGGATCATGGTGGGGTGAATTGTTTAGTGCGTGAGTTAAATTTTTACTGATTTTTTTATTTTATTTTTTTTTCCATGAGATTATAAACTCTCTCTCTCTCTCTCTCTCTCTCTCTCTCCACACACTAAATAAATAACTCGGGCAACGATCAGAGAAGTATCGTTCGGTGTCCAATCCATCCACCGAGTTGTTCCCTTGTTAATTAATAAGTGCGTTTGTGTCTTTTACCTTCAAATAGTAAATAAGATCACATTCTATATACTTTTAAATACTTTACACTTTAGTTAAGGAGAAGTAGTGTGACCCCCCCCTCATGTTCACTACGTTCATTACCCCCCTCATGTTCACTACGTTCATTACCCCCCTCATGTTCACTACGTTCATTACCCCCCCTCATGTTCACTACGTTCATTACCCCCCTCATGTTCACTACGTTCATTACTTCACCTACATAACAACAGGTGACCCTTAAGTCTTCACAATAAACCTTTAGACTCAATACCGTGTTAACCCAAGTATGTTAATTTACGTTTATTGGCTCCGACCTTAATGATATATTGCTAATCAACAAATAAATTAAAGGGATAATTAGTGACGTGGTGGACTGGTTTTATCGGTCGTGTGGGGATAAAATGTAGGTATAGCCAGTCAAGTGTACAGTCACGGGTCAGTCATGGTGAACAGTCAGTCATGTTACTGATCATTACGTGACAGTCAGCTCCAGATGTGTGTTAATGGTTGGTGTAAATCCTTCGTGTTTTTTGTTATTCTGTTATGGAAGTAAGTGTGTGTGTGTGTGTGTGTGTGTGTGTGTGTGTGTGTGTGTGTGTGTGTGTGTGTGTGTGTGTGTGTGTGTGTGTGTGTGTGTGTGTGTGTGTGTGTGTGTGTGTGTGTGTGTGTGTGTGTGTGTGTGTGTACGGTACTGTGCTAGCAGTATTTACGGTTAATGGAACCAGATAGCTTTGTAAACTTTCCAATAAAGGCTGTTGGTGAACTTACCTGTGGAGATAGTTTACACCTCTCTCTCTCACACACACACACTCTCATTTCTCATCGTTCATCACCATACTTACATTAATCCAGGAGCGTATGGTAATAACTGTAGTCCCTATACTCCGATTCGCCTCAAGATAGAAATTCATCATCAACTCTGAGAAGGTTTCCCTTGAAGGATGTTATCACCCGGGAGGCGTAGTGGGAGAAAGTCGCCTTTGTGGCTGGGGGCAATAGGAGGTCATTATCCCCTCGGTAATTGACTTGGTGGGGCGGGATGGGTAAGGGGGGGAGGGGCGGGGTGGGGAGGCGGTTGGGGCGGGGTGGGTGGTAACGGAGATCTTTTGATGAATCTAACCTAAAGAACTATTGAGATGTGCTAAAATGGTGGATGCTTTTTTTTAATGGGGGTATCTTGGAGGAGGAGCTCGAACTGCTTGGAGGGAGGAGCTCGACCTGTTTGGGAGGAGGAGGAACTCAGCCCTCAGAGTATTGTCGGAATGTGGGTGCGTCTGTTCTCTCTCTCTCTCTCTCTCTCTCTCTCTCCTCTCCCTCCTTCCCTCCTTCTGTCTTCTGGTGTTGACTTTGTATCTTATTCTTTTCGTTCTTTTTCTCATTTTTATCTCTTCAGTTCTCTCTCTCTCTCTCTCTCTCTCTCTTTCTCTCACCTCCTTTTCCACTCACTAGCACGTAAACCCGTCAAGAATGAAGGAGGAGGAGGAGGAGGAAGTATTGAAGTAGGCGACGAAGGAGAAAGAAGAAAAGAGGGAGGTGGTGAAGGAGGCGGTGAAGGAGGTAGAGGCTGCGGCAGGAGAGCGTCAGGAGGGAGGGTAGACCCGACACCTCACCTTGCCCATGCATAACAATAAGCAGCAACCACACACACACACACATGGAAGAAGAAGAAATAGGAGAAAGAGGCGAAAAAAGATGAGGAAGAAGAAAAAGGAGGAGGTGGGAAGATGAGAAGAAAATGATAAGGCGGAGAAAGAAGAAGAAGAAGAAGGTGGTGGTAAAAGCCTTCATCAGGTGACTTACTTCTCAGCGAAAGGTCTCCGGTTGAGGCGCTGATCCCCCAACACCTCGCCAGGCCTCTCCCCTTCCTCCCCCTCCTGCTGCTCTTGACCTTGTTGTTGCTGTGACCCATACTCAAACTCCTCGTCTTCGTCATCTTCGTCCTCCAGCAGGTACTCTTCGTCCTCCTCGTCGTCGTAGTAGTCTTCGTCTTCTTCGTCTTCGTCGTCGTCATCGTCGTCATAGTCGTCCAAGGCGTCCCACGACTTAGGGAGGTCCTCGTCGGAGGCTGAGGCGGCGTCCTTCAAGGGCACGATCTTGTCCCTGTGGAGGAAGAACACTGAACGTTAAATAACTCATGATAGAACGTTAAATAGCTCACAATAGAACGTTAAATAGCTCACAATAGAACGTTAAACAGCTCACAATAGAACGTTAAATAACTCATAATAGAACGTTAAATAACTCATAATAGAACGTTAAATAACTCATAATAGAACGTTTAATAACTCATAATAGAACGTTAAATAACTCATAATAGAACGTTAAATAACTCATAATAGAACGTTAAATAACTCATAATAGAACGTTAAATAACTCATAATAGAACGTTAAATAACTCATAATAGAACGTTAAATAACTCATAATAGAACGTTTAATAACTCATAATAGAACGTTAAATAACTCATAATAGAACGTTAAATAACTCATAATAGAACGTTAAATAACTCTTAATAGAACGTTTAATAGCTCATAATTACACTCCTTTACGCTGTTGTATTCTCGGTGTTGTACGTTAGGTTAGCTTAAATTAGGGTAGGTTAGCAGTCTTCCTAAGTCTGGCCAAGTTTAACACCTGGCCAAGTTTAACATCTGGCCAAGTTTAACATCTTGCCAAGTTTAACATCTGGCCAAGTTTAACATTTGGCCAAGTTTAACATCTGGCCAAGTTTAACATCTGGCCAAGTTTAACATTTGGCCAAGTTTAACATCTGGCCAAGTTTAACATCTGGCCAAGTTTAACACCTGACCAAGTTTAACACCTGGCCAAGTTTAACATCTGGCCAAGTTTAACACCTGGCCAAGTTTAACATCTGGCCAAGTTTAACATCTGGCCAAGTTTAACATCTGGCCAAGTTTAACATCTGGCCAAGTTTAACATCTGGCCAAGTTTAACATCTGGCCAAGTTTAACATCTGGCCAAGTTTAACACCTGGCCAAGTTTAACACCTGGCCAAGTTTAACACCTGGCCAAGTTAACATTTTTATCATGTTATCTGTAAGGCTTATCCATCACGACAGGTGTGACTACAGTGGCCGGACTACGAGGCGATTTTACACACATTATCCTTCCTTAGCCACACCATTTACCACACCCTCTCTCATCTCCGCTCTTAACCACATTTTCCGCTTCTACCCTCCCACCCCCCACAGCTTCTCCCCTCCTTCCATCTCATTTCCCCTTTCTCCCCCCCTCTCCCCTTCCATATTTTCCCCTCTTATTTCTAGTTATCTTCTTCCTCTCTCCTTCTTCTTTATCACCATCTCCACCCCACTCTCTCTACTCTCTCTTCTTAACTCTTCATCACTTTCTCTTCTTCCTCTGTTCTCTTTATCGCTTTTCTTTTCCTCCTCCTCCCAACCCTCTCCCCAACTCCTCCACCCCACTCCCAACCCCCCACCCCCCTCCATCCCTCCAGCCACCTCCCTCCATACCTCCACACCCCCTCCATCCACCCACACCCCACTCCATACCTCCAAACTCCACCCATACCTCCACACTCTACCTATGGCCTCCACACCCCACTCCATACCCTCCCACACCCCCTCCATCCACCCACACCCCCCCATACCCTCCACTCCCTCCATCCCTCCACACCCCACCCAGCCCCCCCCTCCACCCCACCCATACCCCACACCCCCCTCCATCCCTCCACACCCTCCATCCCCTCCACACCCCCCTCCATCCACCCACCCCCATCCCACACCCTCCATCCACCACCCTCCATCCCTCCACATCTCCACCATACTCTCCACACCTCCATCCACCCACACCCTCCATCCACCCACACCCCCACTCCCTCTACACCCCACTCCATACCTCCACACCTCTCATCCACTCCAACCATACTCACCTCACACCCTCCATCCACTCCACACCCCCTCCATCCCCTCCACACCCCCCTCCCTGAAGTCCGGTAATCAGTTAGGGTGGCTGGTGCTGTGGTCATCAGTAATGGGTCGAGTAATCTGTTCCTGATCTGTGTGGAGCGGCAGTGTGGCGCCCTCTGTTGCTGCTGTTATCTTTTCCTCTTTCTCTTCCTGTTCTCCTCTTCCTCTCCTTTGTCGTCCTTCTTTCTATTCTTCTCCTCCTCCTCCTTCCTGTTCCTCTCTTCTCCCTCATCCTCCTCCTCTTTCTCCTTCTCCTTCTTCCTGTTTCTCCTCCTTCCGCCTTCTTTTTCTTCTTTCTGTTCTCATTTCTTCTCTTTCTTCGTATTTTGTTGTTGATGTTGTTGTTGTTCTTCTTTTCCTGCCTCCTCTTCCTCCTCTCTCTCCCTTTTCTTCTTCTCCTCTTCCTCATTCCAACTTCTCTAACTTCCTCTACTTTTGCACTAATTCCTTGGTTCATTGTTTATTCTCTCTCTCTCTCTCTCTCTCTCTCGTCTTTATCCGTCTTCTCCTCCCTTTCTTCCTTTCTTCTTAATCTTCCTATTATCCTCCTCCTCCTCTTCATTATAATCACCATTGTTATCCATCATCATTATCATTATATTTTTCCTTCTCTCCTCTCGCTATTGTTCTGGCTCCATTGAATCGTGGTTTAAGGTATCCAAGCTCCACTGAATCCAGTATAAGGATCCCGACTCCATTGAATCTCACATAAGGATCCCGACTCCATTGAATCCCGTATAAGGATCCCGACTCCACTGAAACCCACATAAGGATCCCGACTCCACTGAACAGAAACTCGTATTAGTGAAAGACACAACACGGTAAATTTTCACATGTACCAGAGGCCAAAAGGTTAATGGATTTATAGAATGTAAATAAATGAATCACATTGACATAAAATAGTTACCAAAGAATCACGACTTGGCAACTATATGGACTCATGTGGATGGGCACCGAGTTCCACTGAATTGTAACGTGTAAACAAACGCAACACGTGACAAAATGGCGTGACACTCCTCTTAACGTGTGCTATATACACCCTTATGCTGTTAGGTTAGGTTAGGTTAGGTTAGACCAGTTGAGGCGAGGTTAGGTCACATAACCAGGAGAGTAGGTGGGGGTTATGAGGAAGGTGAGGCCTGATAATGAACACACATCAGGGGCCGCAGCACCACACACCTTGTTAGTCCCGGTAACACCTGTCAGTCAGAACCCTTAATTACCCCCCTGGCTCTCACTGCCTGCAGGTGGGCACTGCACGTTATGACCAGCAGGTGACTATAGCGGACACACACACACACACACACACACACACACGATAGCTGTGTATTTGATGTGTGATGAATTTGATGTTGTTGTTTATGATGCGTGTGTATATATGGATTCTACTATAGTACATGTATATTTCTGAGTATTTTGAAGTTTTATTTAATGCGTATGTTGAAATATGAATATATCGACGAGTAGCGTGGCTGTACAGTGTGTGTGTGTGTGTGTGTTGATGGGGGGCAGGGGTTGCAGTGGTGCCAGCATGATGAGAGTATGGTAGGTCAAGGGTGGGCAGGGTGACTCAAACTACCGTGTGTGTGTGTGTCAACATTAATTGGCTGGTGGGTAGTGCAGAGGAGGCACAGCACCCTCACCCTTCCGTCCAGGTGCACTAAGGGCGTCACCACCACCACTACCCCACCCCCACCACCACCCCACCCCCCACCCCCCTCACCACCACCCCCAACCACCACCCCCACCAACCCCACCCCACCACCAACCCCACCCCACCACCACCCTCACCACCACCCCCAACCACCACCCCCCACCACCACCCTCACCACCACCCCCCCCACCACCACCACCACCACCCCACCACCACCACCACCACCACCACCACCACCACCACCCCACCACCAACCACCACCCCAACCCCCCCACCACCCCACCCCCACCACCCCACCACCAACCTCCACCCCACCACCACCACCACCCTCACCACCACCCTCACCACCACCACCCCACCACCCCTCCCCACCCCACCCACCCCCACCACCAACCCCACCCCCACCACCCCCCACACCACCTCACCCACCACCCCCACCCCGCCCTCACCCCCCCCCACCCCACCCCTCACCACCACCACCCCACCCCACCCCCCAACCACCACACCCACCCCCCACCACCACCACCCACCACCACCCCCCCCACCCCCCCCACCCCACCCACCACCCCCCACCCCACCACCACCACACCACCACCCACCACCACACCATAAATTGCTGTTATCGTGTCATACCATTACCATGTTCTCACCATTATAGGGATATAAAGCGAGATGCAGGTGTGAGGCGCCGCCCAGGTGATGCCACAACCTATATTACGGCCTCCTTCCCTCCCTATCTCTTCCTTCCTCCTCCTCCTTCCTTCCTTCCTTCTTTCGCATCTTTCGTTCTTCTTACCGCCATCATGTTACTTTCTGTCCCCTTTCCCTTCCTCTTCTCTCCCTACCTCTCTTCCTCCCTTTCTTCTCCCCTTTCTTTCTCCTTCCTCCCTCACCTTCACCTTCACCTCCTCTCATCTGCCATACATTCCTTAACGCTTTTCTCCTTCATCTCCCTAAAATCCTCAAATACCTCCTCCTCACCCCCCTCCTTCCCTCCTCCTTCACCCTCCCTCCTTCCCTCTCTCCACCCTTCCTTCCCTCATTTCACCCCTCCCTCCCCCCCCCAACAGAGGGTGGGTAAAATCGACTCACAATAAACTCGATTGAGAAGGAGCCAAAGCCCCATTAAATTGTTGAAAGTGACCCATAAACAAGAGGCCAGAGGTCAAGGTCAAGCGGGCCCCAGTCTATTAGGCCTTAAGTGTAATGGGCCCCAGTGTAATGGGCCCCAGTGTAATGGGTCGCAAACCTAATCTCCGGGAAGTCTTTAAAATTGGGGAAAATTAATATTATGGGCCCAGTCATCACATTCCTTCCTGGTGGAGATGCCTCAATTACCCCCCTCACCACCTCCCTACACCCCCCTCACCACCTCCTACACCCCTCACCCACCCCTCCCTACCCCCCCCCTCACACCTCCCCACCCCTCACCACCTCCCTACACCCCCTCCCCCACACCCCACCCCCCACCCACCTCCCTACCCCCTCACCCACCTCCCTACACCCCCTCACCACCTCCCCACACCCCCGTCACCACCTCCCTACACTCCCCTCACCACCTCCCCCACCCCCCTCACCACCTCCCCACCCCCCTCACCCTCCCCTACACCCCACCTCACCACCTCCCCACCCCCCTCACCACCTCCCTACACCCCCTCCCCTACACCCCCTCCCCACCTCCTCCCCCTCCCCTCCTCCCTCACCCCACACCTCCCCCACCCCTCTCCCCTCCCTACACCCCTCTACACCCCCTCCCTACACCCCCTCACCACCTCCCCTACACCCCCTCCCACCTCCCTACACCCCCCTCACCACCTCCCTACCCCCCTCACCACCTCCCCACCCCCCCTCCCACCTCCCCCCCCCTCACCACCTCCCTACCCCTCACACACTATATCTGTGGGAAATGAACGTCAGGAGGAGGCAGAAATTCGATGATCAAGACAGTACTAGTGACCGTCATGGGATCAATACTACAATTGCCAGACAACAAGCTTTGGCGGGCGGGTGGGGAGGGGAGGAAGAGGGAAGGGAAAAGAGTAGGAGTAGAGGAGGAATGAGAGAAATGGGAGAAGAAGAAGAAGGAAGGGGGGAGTTATTAGAGAGGCAGGAGGCCATTGAAAGAAAACGGGGGAGGGCATATTTCACCTTCTGAGGGGGGAGGGGGGGAGGAGGTAATTCTATAAACTATCTGGTGGTTATCTGGAATGGGGAAAGGTCACAGTTGAATTGAGGCGATGGAGGGAGGAGACAGAAGAGGAGGGAGGCAGGAGGAAGGGAAGGAGGGAGGGGAAGGAGGGAGGAGGGGGGAGAGGAGGGAGGCAGAGAGGGAGGGAGGCAGGAGGAAGGGATTAAATAGAGTCATCTTCCAATACCATCAGTCCAAGGTTAGTGTTTATTTCATTTGTTTATTTTTCCTCCGCCTATAAATCATATCTTTAAAATCTGGATAAAATCTGTCTTTATTTATTTTATTTCTCTTTGTTAAACGACAGATTTTTTTTTGTCTGTAATCTGTTATTATAAGCTGGTGATTTTTCTTTCCACTGATCCATCACAACCGTAAAATCTGTATAAAAATCTGTCTGTCCAGTAATGTGGGTCATAAATCGTTGTAGATTATTCCCTATGGTAATGAATCACTGTAGAATATTCCTCATTGGCGATAAATCTGTAGAATGTTTCCCATTGTTTTGTTGCATATTTGAAGAGACTTGCATCATCCCCAGCCAATCCAAGAACAAGCTATGTGTCGGCACCACATTTACATCGCCACATACTGTATGTCTTCCCTCCATTAAGCCATTTCTCTCCCCCTTTTCTTACACGTTCCAACACCTTTATGGAGGATCAATAACCGGAATGGATTTAAGGTCGTTCTCAAGTGTCGTTTCTTATAATTAAAGTCTTGTGGTTAATATGTCACGGCTCGTAATGGCGGTCTCGTAAAACACAAATTTTCTTTAACTCGTATTTCTCGACTGACTTGGTTACTTTTTGTTTATTACAGCCACCACCTCTCTCTCTCTCTCTCTCTCTCTCTCTCTCTCTCTCTCTCTCTCAGCGTCTCATTCCACTCAAGCTATTACCGGCCATAAATGCCCCTGTTATAAGGCTCAATCTCCGGCAACAACACCTTCACGAGTGGGTCTTTAATCCACAACATGGCGACCAAGTCATGTCAGCAAAAGTTGAGGCGATTTTGGGGAGAATACGAGTAAACATTACCATAAAGCTTCATACTTTATCCTGCCACTCCTCACCTTCACGCCCACGCTTTCACGCCCGCCTTCACGCTCACGCATTCACGCCCACGCATTCACGCCCACGCCTTCACGCGCATTCACGCCCACGCCTTCAGGCTCCACGCCCACTCATTCACGCCCTTCACGCTCACGCTCACGCCCACGCCTTCACACCGCATTCACGCCTCTCACGCCCCGCCTTCACGCACGCCTTCACGCCCACGCCTTCCGCCCACGCATTCCGCCCACGCCTTCACGCTCCGCCTCTCATTCGCCCACGCCTTCACACTCACGCATTCGCCCTTCCACCCGCATTCCGCCCATGCCTCCGCCCACGCCTTCACGCTCACGCATTCACGCCCACGCCTTCACGCCCGCATTCACGCCCGCATTCGCCACGCCTTCAGGCTCCGCCCACTCATTCCGCCCGCCTTCACGCTCACGATTCACGCCCACGCCTTCACACCCGCATTCACGCCCATGCCTTCACGCCCACGCCTTCACGCCCACGCCTTCACGCCCACGCCTTCGCCCACGCATTCCGCCCACGCCTTCACGCTCACGCCTCTCATTCACGCCACGCCTTCACACTCCGCATTCACGCCCGCCTTCACACCCACGCATTCACGCCCATGCCTTCGCCCGCCTTCACGCTCACGCCTTCACCCACGCCTTCACGCCCACGCCTTCACGCCCACGCCCACTACAACAACTACACACACACACACACACACACACACACACACACTCCTCGGTTCCTCACTCTCATTAAAAAAAAGACTCGACAAAGTTATAAGACTCTTGAAGATTAACCATCCACTCCCCACACTCCCTACTCTCCCCACTCCCCCACTCCCTACTCCCCTCCCCATCCCTGGACTCCAACCCACCGCCCACACAACCGACCTCTTGGCATTTCAGTGGTGAATCAAGATCTGGTGAAGGGGGTCATGTCAAGTCACGTAATAAAGGAAAGGTGACGGTCTCTGTCTACAGTAGGTCGTCAGCTTATGTTTTGGTCATCCTGTTGTCTGGGAGAGTAAAGTAAGGTGAGGTGAGGTAAAGTAGAACTAAAGTAAAGTAAGTAAGGTGAAGTAGAGTAATGACAAGTTGGGGTTCGTGTTATATTCCTGGGGTGGTAAAGGCGACACTCTTCCCGTCAGGTGAGAGGTGCCAAGGTCTCCTCCAGCTGACCCCCACGTCTTAGTAGTGTCCCTCAACGTCAGTCTTGATGTTCCCACTGTGTAAATAAAGTCAATGGAGAGTGTGTGTACAGTAGCGTGTGGCGTTCACTGTCATGACCGTTAACACCTGTGGTAATAACGCCTGACGCAGCTTCGCCCGGCGTCTGTAGTTTTATGGTGGGGTTCTCTGTGTTCGTCTCTCACCCTAGAATGATTTTATGGCTGTTATTAACCCACCGAGTGACTCCCTCGTGTTCATCTCACTATATTACCCGGGCCATCGAAGGCTGCGTTAACAGTTTGTTTGGGATACAAGTTAAGCTTATTGTATCCCGTAAATTGTGCGTTACGAGCTGAGCAGACCGTGGCCACATTCTACGGTGGCGGGTGTGGCCAGGAGGGGTCTGCTGTGTGGTGGGTGTAGGAGGTCTGCTGTGTGGTGGGTGTGGCCAGCCAGGCAGGTCTGCTGTGTGGTGGGTGGCCAGGGAGGTCTGCTGTGTGGTGGGTGGCCAACGGAGTCTGCTGTGTGGTGGGTGGCCAGGAGGTCTGCTGTGTGGTGGGTGGCCAGGGAGAGGTCTGCTGTGTGGTGGGTGGCCAGGGAGGTCTGCTGTGTGGTGGGTGGCCAGCCAGGGAGGTCTGCTGTGTGGTGGGTGGCCAGCCAGGCAGGTCTGCTGGAAGGCTCATAAATATTACTAGTACTGTACTGATTGAAAAAGATATTACTATAGATAACGTTAATGTTTTCTTGAGACTTGTAATATGCACATAATATTGCCATTTTCTTTTATAACGGTGAGAACTCTCTCTCTCTCTCTCTCTCTCTCTCTCTCTCTCTCTCTCTCTCTCTCTCTTACCAGTTTTACTTCCACTTTGTCAACTTAACTTGTCTGGAAACATGACGACATATTGTGAGTTTGGACACGTCATGCTAACACCAGAGGGACGACACCACCACTAGAGGGACGACACTCACCACTAGAGGACGACACTCACCACTAGAGGGACGACACTCACCACTAGAGGGACGACACTCACCACCAGAGGGACGACACTCACCACCAGAGGACGACACTCACCACCAGAGGGACGACACTCACCACCAGAGGAACGACACTCACCACCAGAGGAACGACACTCACCACCAGAGGACGACACTCACCACCAGAGGACGACACTCGCCACCAGACAACTTCCCATATAATAACAGTTTTGGGTCACATCTGCGGAGCTCCTCTCTTTATATATTAGGGAGGATTAGGGGACCCGTGTTCAGGAGGAGAAATAGTTGTAATAAATGACGTTCCTAGAGGCTGCTGGGGAAGAGGGATGTGACTGTGAGTTATGTTGACTGTCAGCGTAGCATAACACAAGGTCGTGAGGGAGAGACTGTTTATAATACTGTCAAGTGTGTGTGTGTGTGTGTGTGTGTGTGTGTCCTGTCAATTGGTATAGCTTCTCTGTAATGTTGTAGGATTATGTTTATTTGCCTTCAGTGGACAACATAAAGAAAACATTTATTTAGTCATCTCATAAAACCTTTCCATCATCGAGTGTACAAATATTTTCCCGTGTTGTGTAATGATATTTTCTTATGGTTAATAGTAACATAAAGTTAACCTGACTACATTTTAACGTCATTGCTCTCATAATTAACAAACTTATGTCTCACTACATACCTATAAATAATTACAGTGAAATGGTTATGAGATGTTTATGATGATATTATGAAGCTCATGTCGTGTAATTATGTCGCGTTTTTGTTGAAATTTGCCTTAACTGACTACTACAGGCTCTGGAATCACTACCTGCTGAACGGCGCTACAGGCTCTGGAATCACTACCTGCTGAACGGCGCTACAGGCTCTGGAATCACTACCTGCTGATGGCCGCTACAGGCTCTGGAATCACTACCTGCTGATGGCCGCTACAGGCTCTGGAATCACTACCTGCTGATGGGCGCTACAGGCTCTGGAATCACTACCTGCTGAACGGCGCTACAGGCTCTGGAATCACTACCTGCTGAACGGCGCTACAGGCTCTGGAATCACTACCTGCTGATGGCCGCTACAGGCTCTGGAATCACTACCTGCTGAACGGCGCTACAGGCTCTGGAATCACTACCTGCTGATGGCCGCTACAGGCTCTGGAATCACTACCTGCTGAACGGCGCTACAGGCTCTGGAATCACTACCTGCTGAACGGCGCTACAGGCTCTGGAATCACTACCTGCTGATGGCCACTACAGGCTCTGGAATCACTACCTGCTGATGGCCGCTACAGGCTGGAATCACTACCTGCTGAACGGCTACAGGCTCTGGAATCACTACCTGCTGAAGGCCGCTACAGGCTCTGGAATCACTACCTGCTGATGGCCGCTACAGGCTCTGGAATCACTACCTGCTGAACGGCGCTACAGGCTCTGGAATCACTACCTGCTGATGGACGCTACAGGCTCTGGAATCACTACCTGCTGAACGGCGCTACAGGCTCTGGAATCACTACCTGCTGAACGGCGCTACAGGCTCTGGAATCACTACCTGCTGATGGCCGCTACAGGCTCTGGAATCACTACCTGCTGAACGGCGCTACAGGCTCTGGAATCACTACCTGCTGATGGCCGCTACAGGCTCTGGAATCACTACCTGCTGAACGGCGCTACAGGCTCTGGAATCACTACCTGCTGAACGGCGCTACAGGCTCTGGAATCACTACCTGCTGATGGCCGCTACAGGCTCTGGAATCACTACCTGCTGAACGGCGCTACAGGCTCTGGAATCACTACCTGCTGAACGGCGCTACAGGCTCTGGAATCACTACCTGCTGAACGGCGCTACAGGCTCTGGAATCACTACCTGCTGAACGGCGCTACAGGCTCTGGAATCACTACCTGCTGATGGCCGCTACAGGCTCTGGAATCACTACCTGCTGAACGGCGCTACAGGCTCTGGAATCACTACCTGCTGAACGGCGCTACAGGCTCTGGAATCACTACCTGCTGGTGCGCCAGGCTCTGGAATCACTACCTCTCTGAGGATTAGAATATACGAACGGCGCTACAGGCTCTGGAATCACTACCTGCTGAACGGCTACAGGCTCTGGAATCACTACCTGCTGATGGCCGCTACAGGCTCTGGAATCACTACCTGCTGAACGGCGCTACAGGCTGCGAATACTAGCCTTCAAGATCCACGGGAACTTTGGGCATAAAAGCGTAAAATTATATTGCCTTAATTATTGCGACCCTGGGCCAGAGGTTTAGAAAGTTCCTTTCATAGTATCTTGCATGACTTAACCTCCTAACCTCGCATAACCTAACCCTACCTCGCATAACCCTAACCTGGCTATGCATTACCTGACCTATGGCCTGGCCTGGAATCGCTACCTCTGCGCGCCTTGCTACAACCTCGCGCCAGCCTTAGCCACAGCATAGCACCTGGACAACTCGCGCCCAGCACAAGCCCAGGCCTCGCGCCACAACACAACTGCGCTGCTTTACTGGCCTTTAACACAACCTCGGCAGCACAGCACAACACAACTTGCTCACCTACACAACACAACTCGCGCAACACAACACAACCTAGCTACTCGCCAGCACAACACACAACAACATAGCAACACAACTTCGCATTTACCTAACACAACTTCGCGTACCTAACCTAACTTCGCATACCTAACCTAACCTACACTATAACACAACATAACCCAACCTCGCATAACCTAACACAACACCTAACTTCG